GGAGGACCCCCTTCCCATCTCTTCAGAATAAAAGTCTTTATTTCTTTTTCACAAAGAAATAAATGGCTTCCAATGATTTTCTTGGAAGCAGCAAGCAAACAGACCTAAGCAACTACTCATATCTTTACACCCGTGTCCCCTCCTCCTATTCTTTCACAACATTCAAACATTTAACTGACCTAACAATTTCTTTAGGACTCCAGATGTTCAGAGATGCACAGGACCTTAGGCATGAGTGGGCTTATCCATTTCATTACACAGATGAGGAACTGCTTGCCCCAAGGAGGGTGGGGTGGATAAAGGCATAAACAGAGAGCATAGGTTTATGTCTTAAAAGGCTGAACGATTAGTGGTAATCTCTGACTATCCAGTGTGGAATTCTTGAAATAGAAGTCTCAAAGTAGCTAGTTATCACACAAATTTCCAAAAATACAAATGTCAAAGGAAAAAAAAAGGAGGAATCTGATTTCATCAAGTGAAGGATTTCTGTTCAATGAAACATAATATGGGTAAAATTAATAAACAGACGATCGGAAGATATTTATGGTGCCTAAAATTGATCATAGATCAATAGCTAGGACTCTTAAAAATTGACACAATAAATCAAACCCAATTAACAAGAGCAAAAGATGTGAAAATGCATTAGGTAAGAAAAAATCAAAAAATTAACAAACAAAAGATGCCCCAAAATACTAGCTATTAGGAAAACACAAGATAAAACAATGGAAAACTGGATAATGATAAGAATGGATCAGATACAGGGACTTACATGTCCAGTGTGAGGAAGGGTGTGTGGGGAAGATTAAAAGCCAGCTCTCAGTAACTCCAAAAGATAACCTGGAAGTCTTTAGTCATTGTAAATCAATATACCTGTAATCTGTGACCTGCAATTTTGCACTTGGGTATTGAGCTCAAAAGAAATCCTCACAATGAGACTAGCAGGAGGATATTCAAAGAAGCACAGTTTGTGAGGCAGGGAGTGGAGTAGATGGGGAAAAACTGGAGATCACTGAGCACACTGCATAGTGCAGATACAGAGTGACATGGGTGGCTCACAGAAACAACCTTAGGACAAAGGAAGAATAAGCTCCTAGGACTACAACCATGCATGTTAAACATATTGGAATAGTTTTCTATACAGGAAGTGGGAGATGGATACCAAAAGGTCATTAGTTGTTCTGAGTGACTTAAAGGTCCTGGTTCCTACCCTGGTGCTGGCTCAGGCATTTAGGAGCAATGTGGACTCAAACTGCTATCAACAATGCCCCACTGAAAACAGTCTTTCTCATATTTTATCTTGATCTCGAGAATCTCAGCTCCTTTTGGTTTTGTGCTTTGAGGGAATGTCATACATTCATTCCATGAGTAAATTTTGTTTTGTTTTTTGAAACAGGGTCTCTCTATATAGTCCTGGCTGACCTTGGATTCACTATGTAGCCCAGTCTGGCCTTGAACTTGTGGCAGTCGACACTACTTTAGGCAATGGGGCTTAGAAAAGATGTGGAGGGCAGGGAGGAAGTAGCCAGAACCAGGCTGTGAGATCCTGATAAAGTGACAGCCAGATCCAAAGCTCTCTTCCTTGTAGCTTTTTTTTCTTCAAAGCGTATGGAATTAACCTTCAAAACCTCTTAAAATAGCCAGCAGTGGACTACAGATGTTTACATTTATGATGTCACCTGCTGTTCAGAAAAATCTCAGTCAGTTCTTACAGATGAGGACCACAAGACTCAAAGACATAACCTGGACAACTGCTCAAGAATAGGGGCATCCTGGCTCTTCTCCTGCGTCAGAGGACATCATTCCATCCACCAAGAAAGTTACACCAACTAGTGGCTTTTGCCATACTCCTCCCTACCCCTATTTTTCTAATAAGTATCTGGGTCCAAGATGGCCCCAAGCTTGCCCAGAGGCCCCCATTTTAGCAGCTCTCCTAGGCACACAAACTTGGAGGCCCTTGCTCTAGGAAACTCCTGGAGTTAAGCTAGAAGCTAAGGACTTCCCTTCTCGCCTCCATACCTCTGAGTCCTTATATATGGCTCTTTAAAACCAGCTCTGATGAATTCCTGGAGAGTTAGTATAATATAAGCAAAATGACAGTGAGAAAACTCAGTAAGACAGAAGTACTGCAGAGCTACATTTCAGACCTTGGCACTCCAAGAACTAGGATTTTAAACAGGTCAAATTCTTTGTCAAACACCAGAATTTGTGAGCTGGAATCAGGAAGATGGCCAGCAAACTTGCCATTCCCTTTCCTCCCCCTCTTTACCTCCTGGCAATGTTATATAAATAGCTGATTTTTCTTCAGGCTACAATTCAATAGCTTTGAGCAAAATTTGAAAGACAGTAATTCCATCCTACAAAAAGTATTTAAAACAGTCACAGAGGAGATGGGCTGAGACTTGTAACAGATGGTTTCAGCCTCACTCAACTATTTTGTCAAAGCAGTTGATAGTATGATTAACAACATGAGCTCAATTTTGCTTAAAAAGGAATAAAACATCTTAGGGAGAATTAGGAATATATATATATATATATGTATATGTATATGTATATGTATATATATGTTGTGGTGGTGGTGGTTGTGGTTATTGTTAGTTTGTGATTGTTGTTAGTTTGTTTGTTGTTTGTACTGGAGATTAAACTGACCCGAAACTTGCCAGGAAAGTGCTGTACCATTCACTGAGCTACCCCTGGCCCCTCCTTTTTTTTTATTGCTAAAGAAGAAAGCTTGTGCAACTGTGGAGAAAGTGATAACATTAAAAGAAAATGTTACACAAGTTGTGGTTTATACATGAAATCCAAACAAACTCATATAAAGTTTATCCTACTCTTGTAGGAGGAAGTTGAGAGTTAAACTAGTAACAATTCAGTTATATAAATATTTATGCTGTCATTATTGCTTGAAAAGCCTCAAGCAGGTCTAGCTGTGTTGATGGGAAAACAAGAGCCCGCAGAGTCCTTGAGACCTACAATTCTTCCCTCTGCAGGGTCCAGATGTGGTAAGCACGGCCCGCCCTACAAACTCTGGAGACACAACAACCTGTCTGAATTGCTGTTACTATTGCTTTGAGTATCGCTGCTAATCTCTAAACCAAAAGACAGAATGGAGGGTGCCTCCCCTCCCTTCATTTCTCTAAAATAAGATTTCTTGTTGGGACCCTGAAACAAATGAGTCCTCTTATTGCCTTTTACTGTCTTCTTTTTTCCAAGTTTCCAAAGAGGGATGTACTCTCCTGACTTCTGAGGTCATTTCTTACAAAAGTGTATTTCAGACTTGGCATCCCAGCCTTGGGCACACCTTCCTTTCCCCTCCAGCTGTACGGATGTTGCAACTCACTTCTGTTTTTCTTTTAGAATTCTAAAATTTCCTCATTCCTAGTTTTTCTACAGTCTGGCTGAATCCTTTTATTCTATGCTTTTACACAAGGCTAAACTTAGGTAGTTGTTTGATTTAAACAGACACCAACACACATGCACATAAATCCCTATACTTATTTACTACTGGGTAAGTATTTACTGCCTTATTCACTATGAAGCCTCACAAACATGACATCACATTTAATAGAGTATTTGGGAGCTTAGACTAAATACACATTTTAAGTACCCCTTACCTTATAAATTGGGCTTTCTTTGTAGTCAAACTTACTATATTGAAATCTTGTGTATAATTTTCTTATTTTTATTTTTTATTTTCTGAGGGAGTTAGTTCAGGCTGGACTTGAACTCACCACAATCCTCCTGCCTCAGCCTCCTGAGTGCTGGGATTACAGACATGTACCACTATGCCCGGCTAATTTTTTTTTCTTCTTTATTTGGCTTTTGAGACTGGGTCTCCCTATGCAGTTTCAGGCTGATCTTGAGCTCACTTTGTAGCTCACATTGATCTCAAACTTGCAAGGATCCTCCTGCCTCGGGCTTCTGAGTGTTATGATTACAGGTGTGTGACACCATGCCCCACCTGGCTGATTACTGAAATCCTAGTGTTTTAGTGTTTTAGTACTCTGGCGTTTCTTTGTTTTGAACATACCCTGCAATGTTTTGGTAACAATAACTAACATAAACATAAGTAACATTTACAGAGAACATACTATATGTGGACTAACGTTTTGAGGTAGATAATATTATTAGCCTCATATTATAGACGATCATACAGAGATAGTGAGTAAATAACTTGCTCAAGGTCACACAGAAATAGCTGTGCCAGAAATACAAGGTTTTGACTTTATCAGGCTTTGGCGTCAAAAGGATCCGGCATACATTCTTAATTTGCTTTCTTCTTTGGGGATTAGTTGATCCGGGTTATTGGCTCAGCATATTTTTTTTTTTTTTTGACTGGGAACTGAACTTAGGACCTTGCATTTGCCAGTCAGGCACTTATGCAGCTGAGCTATATTCCTCCTCACTGGCTTTTATTTATTTATTTATTTATTTATTTATTTATTTATTTGGTCTTTTTTTGAGGCAGGTTCTCTGTGCAGTTCAGGCTGGCCTTGCGCTCACTTTGTAGCCTAGGCTGATCTTGCACTCCCAAAGATCCTCCTGCCTCAGCCTCCCAAATGCTGGAATTATAGGCGTGAGCCATCACACCGGGAAGACTAGGCATTTTTGAACCTCCTGTTTCCCTGATGAAACTGAGATTACACAGTGTTCGAAAAATCCAGCAGGAAGGAAGGGGGAGGCGTGAGGAACCTAATCAGTCCTTCCTCCTAGACAACGGTCAGCGTTCTCCCACGCATCCCAGTGGAAGCTCCGCTAGGCAGCGCAGTCCGCTCCTTTAAGCATCTCCCTCCGGTTGTAAAGCCCCAACAGCTTCAGCGTAAGACCATCATCAAAGGACTTTTAGGACACCCGCGGGCACTGACCCGGTGCCCTGGCCAGTGTCTGCCTCTGCCCTCACTTCTCTCTGCGTCCCGGTCCCCAGGCCTGCCTGGACCCTCGGCTGTGTGTCCAGTCTGCTCCTCTGTCTGTCTGGGACTCCTCGCCCGGAGCTCCGGTCTTACCATGGCATCGTAGCGCAGGGCGTTCATGAAGTGCGCGACCTCGGCGCCCTTGTACACGGTGAACCAGATGGTGCCTTGGTACTGGTCGCCGGCGTCCAGCAGCAGCACGTTGGGCTCGGCTTGGCGGATCTGCTGCACCTTGGTGAAGAGCCGCGCCACGCCGCCCACGCAGAGGCTGGCGTTGCTGCACTTGGTAGAATCTTCGCTGGTTTGCTCCAGCCGGCTGTGCACGTCGTTGGTGTGCAGGATCGTGAGCTCCCAGGCGCTAGCCGAGGGCCACAGCAGCGCGCCCAGAGCCAGGAGCAGCCGCGCGGGCGCCCACGGGACCCCGGGACCCATGGCCGCGGCGCGGGGTAAGCGCGGACTGGCGAGGCCAGCAGCCGCGGGGCGGACGCCCGGGCCCAGGGGCGGGGCTCGGGGCGGGCTCTGCTGTCCCCGAGGCCGGCCCGGACTGGACGCGTGCCCGCGAGGTCACCCGAGCGCAGCGGGCGGTGAGGGGCGCCGTCATGCCCCGCTACGCGGTCCTCGCCAGCTTGGACGCTCTTTGCAGGAAGAAACCTGGTTTGCATCGGATTTGCAGCTGTGCGAGGTCACCAAACAGCAAAAGAGGGAAAAGAGAGGTGCGGGAAAGACACAGGAGCAAGATGAGGGGAAGGGAGCGGGGGTCAAGGCGGGGCAGGGAAGGGGGCGCCTGCGGTGGGCGGTGGGAGCTAACCGCGCTCTGGAGGCCGCGACGCCGCCAGGACTGAGTCAGCGCCGGCCCACGTTTCTCAGGCGCTGAGAACTCGCTGGGGTGCAGCCTCTTGTTTTTAAAACCCTGGTGATGTGACAGCCACAGTGCGTGGACAGCTCCAGAAGCTAAACGGGGCGCTGGGGCTGGGTGGTTACCAAGGCCTGCTGCCGCCCTTCGCTGCTCGTTCAGTTCAGTCATCTGTCCACTGCGTTTTGAGGAATGGGTGTATGTGGGGGTGCGTGTCCCCAGCTGCCCGTGTTTAATGCAAAGCTTTTAGTAAAGAAGACAAAGAATAGTCATTATCATCATCGAATTAAAATTGCTGCATAATTTCCGTTTGCTTAATAGATTAATTGGTGAAATCAGTTACTTACAATCAGTTACTAGTGCTTTTGGCAGGAAGAAGAACGAATCAGTGTGGGTCCCCTTGCCTGCACGTTGTGTAGAAGAGCACAGGGGACTTTCAAGCTTCTCCAGAAGGCATCGTGCCAGCCTTGTGTTTCTATGAAGTTTCATTGTTCAACTGTGGTCAAATGTCCATGATATAATTTACTTTTTAAACCACTTTTAAGAGTCCATTTCAGTGCCATTGAATACACTTGATTCTTGTGCCACCAGCCATCTCCAGAATCTTTTTTTTTTTTTTGGTACTGGGGTTTGAACTCACAACCTCGCATTTGCCACGCAGGCACTTACACCGCTGAGCTAAACTTTCAGCTCTAAAATCTTTTTCATCTTCTTGAACTGGGACTGTAGCCACTGAACAGCTGTTCTCCATGCCTCCTTCCCAGCTCCTGGATACCTGCATTACTTCGGTCTATATGAATTTAACTATTCTAAATGCCTCATGTAAGTGGAATTATACTTTTTTTGTTTTTTGGACTAAGTTACTGAGGCTGGGCTCAAACTTGTGATCTTCGTGCCTCCACCTCCCTCAGTGCCGGGGTTATAAGCATGAACCACCTTGATCAGTTTACTGTCTTTTTGTGAATGGATTGTTTCACTTAGGCTTCTGGTTTAATCCTTGGGGTAGAGGAATATGTGACACCATGACTTTAGCATCACATTTGCTTTTTAAACATAGGCCCCTCCAAATAGTTTTATGAAATTCCTGTCCTGGAATGTCACCAGACTTCTGTAGCCACTTGGTTTACAAATATAAAATGGCTTTTGGTGATTTGTTGGACCAAATTCAAGCTCCTCAACTTGGAGTTTTATTTTTATTAAGTTAGTTTAAGTAAGTAGGTACTGGGAATTGAACTGAGAGCCTGTGCACAAACTTGTGATCCTCCTTCCTCAGCCTTCCACACTGGGATGACAGCAAAGACTGCATCTCTGTGGACAGCTAAGTTGAGGGTTTGGACCCAGTAAAGGCCGAATCTCCAAAAAAAAAAAAAAAAAAAAATAGTGGGGGGATTGATCTGGGACTGGTGATGCATACCTGAAATCCCAGCACTGAAGAGGCTAAGGCAGGACAATAACGGTAAGTTTGAAGCCAACCTAATTTATATAGAGAGGCCCTGACTCAACAAACAAAAACAAATATGCAATATGTATCTGCATAAGTATCTTATAAAAAATTAAATTCTTCAGTGTTGCAGAAAAAAATTCCATTTCATTTAAAACCGAACCAAACCAAATCAAACCAAACCACACCAAACAAAACAAAACAGAAAACAAATACTATGTGGCAGTCTGTGTTGCCTTAACCCTCTCCAACCTTGGTACAGCCCTTGGAGGAAAACCACCACACCTCATTAAAAACAAAATCTTTTCTTCCTTTTTGTCTAACTTCTAGCCTTGTAATTTATGAAATACCCAAGAAACAGTATAAAGATCTGGCCTCTCTAACCTGTCTATCTGTAAAGACTCACATCAGACTGTACTCAGGAATACTCACCTCTACTACAATAAGGCAGAAAATTCCCTATTTTGGGTCCAGACTCTTTCAAACATCTTTTTTTTTTTTTTTTTTTTATTTAAGAGGAAAAAGAGAAAAACACAAAACAAGACAAAGCAGTGTAAGGTTACACATAATACAGAACTACAAAAAAAAAAATAAACATAACAGTAAGAAATCACCTGTTAATAGATTACATAATATCATCTTGGAAATAGTTGCTCAAATCACAGTATCAAAGAATACAAAGTAGACATTCAAACGGAGAGACTGCAAACAGCTGTGTTCAATGATCCAAAAACATTAATATAGTCAGCTATTTAACATCCCTAAACACACTTGTTGTTATATCCGTTAGAGCTCTTTTTTTTTTTCCCTCCCTCTCTTTTTTATAACAAAATTTACACATTTTGGATTTTATTACTCCTCAGTTCTCATTACTCTCTTGGGGGGGAGATAATAAAGTCAAATATGGCAAAACAAAGCTGTAAGTCCAAACCAAGGATAGACATAGCACATGATGTAGAACAGAGTACAAGGTCATCAACAATGGTTATCAACATTGTCTCTTGTTTCCTTAAAAGGAATTGTCTATCTCATTAGATATTATAAAGTTGGACAAAACAGTGGAGAGCAAGACCAATAAAACTTAGGCATTGTGAACATTGCAGGACTTCCAAAGGAGACAATAGTCAAACCAGAATGGGCATCTTTGTGAATCTTATTGCCTTCAAATTAGTTGCCTATACCTTCAAACTTGCTACTGTCGCACAGAATGGAACAGAGTCTAATCAGTCAAAACAAGATCTTGGGAGTATTACAGGACTTCAAAACAAGTTAATAGGAGATCAAAAAGAGTTACTACTATATATCCTAATTTTTTAAGTTTTTCCCTTAATTAAAATAAACATAAGAAATAGCTAAATAATTTTTTTTAAAGAATAGTAGTTACCATAGTGTCTGTCTTTTTCCTTAAAATATTTGGATAAAACTTCATATACTATAGCTTCAAATATTTCCATATCAAAAAGCCCAGAGTAAAGCCTTTCTAATTAATAAGTGAAAATTTTATAAGGCTTCAAGGCCACATAATGGGGAATCATGATTATCACATATTTTTATATATTTGAATCATTACTTACATTAGGGAAACTATTCGGTATTCATACATGCAAGATTGATTTATTTCACTTATGAGTATGGTCTCAAGCTGCGCCCATTTATTGATAAATATCTCAATGCAATCCTTCTTTATAGCTGAATAATACTCCATTGTATAGAAATACCACAACTTTTTTATCCATTCCTCAGTTGATGGACACTTGGGTTGTTTCCAAGGTCTGGCGATTACAAATTGTGCTGCTATAAACATAGGTGCACATATATCCCTGTGGTATGATGCTTTCAGTTCTTCTGGGAATATGCCTAGAAGTGGAATAGCTGGAATAAATGGGATTTCCAATCCCAACTTTTTGAGAAACCTCCAGACAGATCTCCACAAAGGCTGTACCAGTCTACACTCCCACCAACAGTGCAGGAGAGTTCCTTTTTCCCCACAGCCTCTCCAGCATTTGTTGTTGTTGGTTTTCTTGATCCTGGCCATTCTTTCAGGAGTGAGATGGTATCTCAGTGTGGTTTTAATTTGCATTTCTCTAATGGCCAATGATGATGAGCATTTTTTCATGTATTTATTTGCCATTTGCATTTCTTCATCTGAGAATTGCGTATTCATCTCAGATGCCCATTTTTGGATTGGATCTTTGAATTTTGAAGGTCTGAGTTTTTTTAATTCTTTATATGTTTTAGACAAGAGGCCCTTGTCTGAGAGAGAGTTTACTAAAATCTTTTCCCAGTTTGTGGGTTTTCTTTTCACTATGCTGGAGATTTCTTTTGACATGCAAAAACTTTTTAATAAGAAGAGGTCCCAGTTATTGATTCTGGGAAGTATTTCCCGTGCAGTTTGAGTCCTATTCATGAATTCTCTACCTACTCCTATGCCTCCAAGGTTTCTACCCAATTTGTCTTCCAATAGATTTAGCGTTTCTGTTTTAATATTCAGATCTTTGACCCATTTAGATTTTAATTTAGTACATGGTGATAGACATGGGTCTAGCTTTAGTTTTCGGCAAATGGAGAGCCAGTTTTTCCAGCACCATTTATTAAAGAGACTGTCGTTCTTCCAGTGAACCTGCTTGGCTCCTTTATCGAAGATAAGGTGGTTGAGTGTGTTTGTAGTTGTGGTTGTATCTTCTAATCTATTCCATTGATCTTCAGCTCTGTTTTGATTCCAATACCATGTTGATTTTACTACTGTTGCTTTGTAGTATAGTTTCAAGTCAGGGATTGTGATGCCTCCTGCTTTGTCTTTGCTGCTTAGAATTGCTTTTGCGATTCTAGGTCTCTTCTGGTTCCAGATGAAATTTAGGAGTGATTTCTCTAGATCTATAAGGTATGTTGATGGTATTTCTATTGGGATTGCATTGAATCTGTATAAGAGTTTTGGGAGAATGGCCATCTTCACAATGTTTGTTCTTCCTATCCATGAGCAAGGGATGTCTTTCCATTTTCTGAGATCATCTTCAATTTCCTTTTTCAGTGTAATATAGTTTTCACTGTATAAGTCTTTCACTTCTTTTGTAAGAGTAATTCCTAAATATTTCATTTTTTTGCTTGCTAATGTGAATAGACCAGTTTCCCTTATTTCCCTCTCTGTGGTTTTGTTGTTTGTGTATAGGAATGCTATTGATTTCTGAGTATTGATTTTGTATCCAGCCACATTACTGAATTTATTTATTGTATCTAAGAGTCTTTCAATGGAGCTTAGGGGGTCTTCTATGTAGAGTATCATGTCATCTGCAAACAATGACAACTTAACTTCTTCTTTTCCTATCTTTACCCCTTTTATTTCTCTTTCTTGCCTAATTGCTCTGGCTAGTACTTCCAGTACTATATTAAATAGGAGTGGTGATAAAGGACATCCTTGTCTTGTGCCTGATTTTAAAGTAAAGGCTTTCAATTTTTGGCCATTTAGTATGATGCTGGCTGTTGGTTTGTCATAAATGGCCTTTATTATATTGAGGTAAAGACCATCTATTCCAATTTTCTGTAGAGTTTTTATCATGAATGAATGTTGGACCTTATCGAAGGCTTTTTCTGCATCTATAGAAATGATCATGTGATTCTTATTTTTGGCTTTATTGATATGGTGAATTACATTTATTGATTTGCGTATGTTGAACCATCCTTGCATTCCTGGGATGAATCCCACTTGGTCATGGTGTATAATCTTCTTGATGATTTGCTGGATCCTATTTGCCAATATTTTATTGAGGATTTTTGCATCTGTGTTCATTAGGGAGATCGGTCTATAGTTCTCTTTTTTAGTTGGGTCTTTCTCAGGTTTTGGTACTAGAGTGATATTTGCTTCCAGGAATGACTTAGGCAGGATTGCTTCCCTTTCAATTTCATTGAATAGTTTGAGGAGTGTCGGCATTAGGTCTTCTTTGTATTTCTTGTAGAATTCTGCAGTGAATCCATCTGGGCCTGGGCTCTTCTTGGTGGGTAAGGACTTAATTACATTTTCAATTTCAGTAACCGAGATTGGGTTATTCAACAGTTTTACATCCTCTTGATCTAGCTTTGGCACTTCATATGCTTCTAAGAAACTGTCTATTTCTTCTGTGTTATCAAACTTTTGAGAGTAGAGGTTTTCAAAATAGGTGTTGATGATCTTCTGTATTTCTATTGGGTCTGTAGTGACTTCTCCTTTTTCATTTCTTATTGCATGAATTTGAGCTTTTTCTTCCCTTTTTTTAATAAGGTTGGCTAGGGGCTTATCGATTTTATTTATTCTTTCAAAGAACCAACTCTTTGATTTGTTGATCCTTTGGATTGTTTTCTTAGTCTCTATTGCATTGATTTCTGCTCTGATTTTTATAATTTCCTCTCTTCTTTTGGCTTTGGGCTTGACTTGCTCTTCCTTTTCTAGCTGTTTGAGGTGTAGCATCAAGTTATTTATTTGTATTCGTTCTGTTTTCCTGATGTGGGAACTCAGTGCAATAAATTTTCCTCTCAGAACGGCTTTCATTGTATCCCACAGATTCCGGTAAGTTGTATCTGCATTTTCATTTTCTTTTAGGTATTGTTTGATTTCTTCTTTAATTTCTTCTGTGACCCACTGATTACTCAAGAGTGTGTTATTCAGTTTCCATGTGTTTGTGGGATTTTTGCGGTATCTTTTATCATTAATTTCTAATTTCAGAGCGCTGTGATCCGATAACATGCAAGGGATGATTTCAGCTCTTTTGCACTTGTTTAAATATGTTTTATGAGCTAATATATGGTCTATTTTAGAAAATGATCCATGTACTGCTGAGAAGAATGTGTATTCTGATGTTGTTGGGTGGAACATTCTGTATATGTCTATCAAACCCATTTGTTCACAGGTATGATTCAGTTCTGTTATTTCTTTACTCATTTTCTGTCTGGTCGATCTGTCCCTTGGTGTCAATGGCGTATTAAGGTCTCCCGTTACAATTGTGTTACTGATAATTTGAGTTTTCATTTCTGTTAATAATTGTTTTATATAACTGGGCGCTCTGGAGTTTGGTGCGTATATATTTAAGATAGTTATCTCTTCCTCTTGGAGTTTTCCCCTTACGAGTATGTAGTGACCTTCTTTGTCCTTTATGGTCATTGTTGGTTTAAAGTTCACGTTGTCTGCAAACAGAATGGCTACTCCTGCCTTTTTTTGGATTCCTGCTGCATGAAGAATTGTTTTCCATCCTTTGACTTTCAGTCTGTGAGTATCCTTCTGGGTTAGATGGGTTTCCTGTAAACAGCATATGGTTGGATTTTGTTTCTTGATCCATTCTGCTAGTCTGTTTCTTTTGATTGGTGCATTGAGACCATTTACATTAATGGTTATTACTGTTAAATGTTGTTTAATTGTAGGATTCTTATCTCTCTGCTGTTGCATCTTTATCTTTCTGTTCTGTTTAATTATTTGCTTTGCTTAGTGGTTTTTTCCTTTGTGTATCTAAACTGTCTTTCAATATTTTTTGCAGGGTTGGTTTGGTGTTCATGAAGTTCTTCAGCTGTTCTTTGTCATGGAAGTTTCGTATTTCACCATCTATTTTAAATGATAGTGTTGCAGGATATATCAGTCTAGGTTGGAAATCATTTTGCTTTAGGATCTGGAATACTTCACTCCATGCTCTTCTTGACTTTATTGTTTGTGCTGAGAAGTCTGCTGTGATTCTGATAGGTTTTCCTTTATAAGTGATCTGTCTTTTCTCTCTGACAGCTTTTAATAATCTATTCTTGTGTTGGATTTCTGGGATGGTGATTATTATATGTCTGGGTGTAGTTTTATTTTGGTTATGACTATTTGGAGTTCTATATGCTTCACTGATCCTGATGTCAGTTTCTGATCTCATGCTTGGGAAGTTTTCAGCTATTGCTTCTCTAAATATCCTCTTGATATCCTTTATGTTGTCTCCTTCTTTTTCATTAATCCCTATCATTCTTATGTTATTCTTCTTTGCATCATCTTGCAGTTGTTGAATTGTTATTTCCTGATTCCTTGTTATTTTTAAAAGATCTTTCCTTTCCTGTTCACTTGCTGCAATCCTGTCTTCAAGGTCTGAAATTCTGTCTTCACTTTCATTAAGGCGGTTTTTACAACTTTCAGTGGAGTTTTTTATTTCCTGTATATCTCTGTGCATCTGCATTATGTATTCTGTTTGTTTCTTATATTGCTCGTCTAGGGATTCTATCTTTTTGTTTAATTCCTCCAATTTTTTATCTGTGTTTTCTTTAGATATATTTAGAATCTCTTTCATTTCTTTTATCATTTCTTCTTTTATCTGAGAAATTATTTCGAGTTTGAATTTCTTTAAAGCTTCCTGGAGTTGCTTGTCAACTTCAGTAGCTATTGTGTCTAATATATGAGGAGGATGGGATATATTTTCTTCTAAATACACTTCTCCTAGGGTTTCCTGAGTTGGGCTGGAGGTTTGAGGTTGTAATTTGGTCTTTCGTTTTGTCATTTTCCTATATTTCTGTGTTTCAAGTGTTATTTGAAAGCCTCCTCAGGATCTGTTGAAAATCCCCTTCTATGTTTGCAGCTACTGAGACTCTGGCACCCCTCTACCCCAGGCCATTGGGCCTGCAGAACCAATGGCCCTTCTCTGCTTGATCAGAACTCCGCGGTTCCAGACAAGCTGGGCCTCAGGGACACTGTGCACCCACCTGCCCCTTGGTAGATCCACAGCTCTTGGATCGCAGCCGGGTTAGGGTACTCACCACAGACCGCAGTGCCTCAGGAGCCTGTGATCCCTCCCTGCTGGCAGAGATATCCACAAACCTCCAGACAAAGGAAGGGCCTCCTGCGGGCACTCCGGATCTACCCCGCTCCTCCTCTGCACGCAGATGGCTATGCGCGGCTGGGCTCAGGCCGAGGTGCCTCAGGAACCCGGGACCCCTCCTCCTCCAGACAAAGGAAGGGGCCTCTGCAGGCGGCTCCGGGTCCGCGCAGCTCCTCCTCCGCACACCAACGGCCAGGCGCTGCTGGGTACGGGCCGAGGTGCCCCAGGAACCCGGGACCCCTCCTCCTCCAGACAAAGGACGGGGCCTCTGCAGGCGGCTCCGGGTCCGCGCAGCTCCTCCTCCGCTCACCGAAGGCCAGGCGCGGCTGGGTACGGCCGAGGTGCCCCAGGAACCCGGGACCCCTCCTCCTCCAGACAAAGGACGGGGGCCTCTGCAGGCGGCTCCTCCTCCGCACACCGACGGCCAGGCGCTGCTGGGTACGGGCCGAGGTGCCCCAGGAACCCGGGACCCCTCCTCCTCCAGACAAAGGACGGGGCCTCTGCAGGCGGCTCCGGGTCCGCGCAGCTCCTCCTCCGCTCACCGAAGGCCAGGCGCTGCTGGGTACGGGCCGAGGTGCCCCCGGAACCCGGGACCCTTCCTCCTCCAGACAAAGGACGGGGCCTCTGCAGGCGGCTCCGGGTCCGCGCAGCTCCTCCTCCGCTCACCGAAGGCCAGGCGCTGCTGGGTACGGGCCGAGGTGCCCCCGGAACCCGGGACCCCTCCTCCTCCAGACAAAGGACGGGGCCTCTGCAGGCGGCTCCGGGTCCGCGCAGCTCCTCCTCCGCTCACCGAAGGCCAGGCGCGGCTGGGTACGGGCCGAGGTGCCCCAGGAACCCGGGACCCCTCCTCCTCCAGACAAAGGACGGGGCCTCTGCAGGCGGCTCCGGGTCCGCGCAGCTCCTCCTCCGCTCACCGACGGCCAGGCGCTGCTGGGTACGGGCCGAGGTGCCCCCGGAACCCGGGACCCTTCCTCCTCCAGCTCTTTCAAACATCTTTAAAAGCTTCCTAACAGAGAGAGGGTTGAGGTCTCTTAAAAGGTCCCAGGGCAGCTGTTTTCTAAATAAAAACATAGAACACCTTGTAGCCTATGGAGTCTAACCTAGTAGGTAAAAAGAAATAATAGTAGGTGCTAAACTATTAGCTGTACCAAAACGGGTGTATCTTCTTTAACCACAAAGGGAGCAGAGCTGGAGAGAATCAAGTGAGTAACTGACTTGTGTCTAATGGGAAGCATGGATATTTTCAAACAAGTGACCTTTGCCCTCCTCTTTTCTGGAAGTTTTCAGACACACAGAGATAGTCCCATCTGCTATTTATGGCTGGGTTAAGCTACCATCCCCAGGCAGCCCAGTTCTTGGCTGCTTTATGGAGGTATTTTTCCCTTTGAGCAGGGTGTTTAAGAATATAGAACTTTTCAATAACTAGATAACTGACAACTCTTCAATAGCAGTTCCTCAAAAACCAGCCCTGGAGACCACCACTCAGTGCAGGTCACAGGACCTTCTGGTCCATGGGCTTCTTATCATAGTGCTGTAGTGGCTCATTAGCTTCAGGAAAATGTCTACAAAGAACTCTCCACAGCAGGGCTGCCGAACCTTTTAGAGCTTTTGGTGATACAAACAGCCAGCTGCGGCACACAAACCACAGGTTTTCCACAGCTGCTGTTTTCACTGGCAGTGGGGCTGCAGGACACAGCAACACCTCTGACAGCTGGCACTGGCCCTTTCCTGAACATAACAGCCTGGGAGCAAGACAACAAGGCTATTTACTTTCTGGTTATGCCAGGACACAACCTACTGCATCCCACTGTAAGTTTCTGCCAACCTCACTCCTATGGGAACTGGCTTGATGAGCCTAGAGACTAAGGACAGGGTCCAGGAGGAGAGGACCCTTTATTTGGCCCATTAGGTAAGTCTCCATGGCCAGGAGGAATAAAGTCCTTATGCTGCAGACAGCTCTATATAAATGCTTTCCACACTGGAAGAAGCAGAACAAGTTTTTGGAAGCTAAAGGAGAGCTTGCGAACTTAATTATGTCCATGATAAGGATCATGTTTCAGGATGACAAATTTCACATCTTATGCATCATACATTTGCCTGTGAAAACTTGCCTTGGGGAGTAGATAAACAGTGTGCTGGTTTTCTTTGTTCTCTGACAAATCCCATTAGCTTTATAAAATTAGGTTCCCTGAGCTTTTAACTAAGGGGCTTCATCCAACTTTTCTGAAAACCCACAGGCACATTGTGAACCATGAGTCTCAGCCTTATTCTTCTGACTGTGGATCAACTGCTCTGGGCTCAGTGATGAGGAGAGAGTGTGTTGAGCTTGCTGTGGCCAGCCCAGGCCTTCTTGGCACATGGAACTGAGGGTCACTGGCTCTAGGTATCGGGGAAGCTGCTTCCTGTCTGGGCCCCAGAAGAAGGGGGATAGGATCTTGTGAAGATCATCCTAGAAATGAGAAAGCAACATGCTGCCCAGGACCCCAGAGGCTTGCCAGGCTGCCGTGGTGAACTTAATTTAATACTTATGTGTTACAGAATGACAAATACTTTAATGATAGATCACATATTGAACAACAATATATCTATTGATTTATTGTAAAATAGATGGGTGTGTGACTCCATTTGTTAAATCATAATTTAATCATAACCATTGATTAAGGTTGACTAAGAATATAAAAGTTCTACAAAAATCTCAAAAACATTCTGTGGGGATCAATTAGTCATATGGAATGCACAATAAAGAGTGCTTGCTGCATATTTCATTATTATTTGTGATTTATGTGAAACAATCAGCAATATTTATAGGTCTTTGTGTATAAATGCACCTTTTTTTCTTTGAGAATCACTGAGGATTTACCAAGAAACCACTGGAGCTATCAGGTAATTTGATTCAGCTTTTTTGGGGATGAGAACCTATTTTATAAATTATCACAACATATTCAATGAAATATCAACTTTCTTTAAATGTGCTGAAATCTATCAGCTAGGCTGAATTAAAGCCTGGGATCTGCTTTGAGATGTAGTAAAAAGAGAGAGTGACCTGCTTGCTCATGGTCATTCTGACACACTTGGGTTAGCTACCAAAAGGTGGGTACTCACACTGTTTTTGTTTTATTGATGAAAGACCTTAATGTAATATTTTATTTTTATATTTTGGTACCGGGTAAAATTTATAACGTCACACTTGCTGTGCAGGTGCTTTGCTGCTGACCTGAATCTCCAGGCCTCCTTAATGTGATATTTAATATTTAATGTAATGTAATGTAAATGGAGTAATTTGTCTGAGATTATTCATGTCTGAATAGGTGAAAAACAACTTTTGGACACATTGAATTCTAATCCCTCCAATTGCATTGCTAAGTCCTCACAAAAGCAGCAGAACGACTCTTTTCTCCTGTTTTTGGTGGTGAGAGTACTTAAAATCTATTGTGCTCTGTGCAAGCACATTGTATCCTGGATCTCCTGATTTTACTTTTCCTGCATAGCTGAAACTTTATGTCCTTTGGCCAGCATCTCTCAATCCCCTCATCCCTAGACCCGGGTAACCATTACTCACTCCATTCTCTGCTTCTATGAGTTTGTGCTTTTCAGATTCTACATGTAAGTGATGGGCTCATATGCTATTTCTATGCCTAGCTTATTTCATGTAGCCTAACATCTCTGAAAAGTGTGAATGATGACTTCACACGAGTCCATTGTGTGTTTTCGTCTGTTGATAGACACTTGGGTTGATTCCATATCTTGGCTATCGTGAATAATGCTGCACTATCATTCCCCTTTTATAGGGATAAAACTGAGGTTCAGCACATTAAATTGATTGCCTGGTGGTGCCACAGGTGGATGGACATGCTTTTCTTTTTTATCTTTGTTGCTCTGTTCACAAAAATGCCCTTTGTTGATTCCAAATGTTTATGTCCTGCTTTCTGCGTTCCTGATAATCAAGAAGCAGCTCTTCATCTGGAGATCTCCAAAGTAGCTATAGAAGCTTGGGATTCTTTTTGTAGCTTTGCCATGGTTTCTTTATGGCTATAGGTGACTGCTGATGTGTACTGATCCACTTCATAAATCACAAATAGTGCAGATGGTTTGGCCTGAGCCAGTCTAGGCCTGGCAGAGTGTTGTCGGCAGAGTGTTGTCTGTAGAATGTGCAAGGCATGAAGAGACTGGACCTGAATTTATTTCTGCTGTGTAGCTGAACTTGTTTTTTTTTAAATTGGTACTGGGGATCGAACTCACAACCGCCTGCTTGCAAGGCAGGTCCTTATGCCACTGAGCTAAATCCTCAGCCCAGTGTGTAGCTGAACTTTTGTGTCACTGACTTTGACCCCCAGAGCAGGCTCACACTCCTTCCCAGCACCGGGGCAGACCAGGTTCCACACACAGCTTCAAAGGACCCTCCCCGGGTTCCTGACCCGGCCTCTCAGCCTTGCCCTCTACAGTGGAGTTCTGCCTGCTCCTTGCTCCCATGTAAGTGCTGTTTGAGTCTCTCTCCTTGCATTTGTGCTTTTTCTAGAGACAACAGAACCTGGGACTCTCCAGGATCGAATCCACATCCCTGGGTGTTATGGATTACAAACGGCTGGTCACTTAATACCAGCTGAATTAAATCAGCATGGGGCTGAGTGTAGATGGCTCACCTGAGGAAAGTTGCCAGCATAGAGACTTGGAAAGATGAGTAAGGTGTTGTGAGTTTCTCTAAGTATTGCTGTTTGGAGCTGTTGGTTCCTTTGGAGGAGCTCCTCATGACTAGCTTCTCTAATACGATTTATTTGGGAGGGCAGTCTAATTTTTTAGTTCTTTATTTTTTAAATTTTTAAAATTTATTTGAAAGAAGATAAAACAGAATCAAACTAATCAAAACAAATCAGTGTAAGTGATACAGAACTAAAAACATTACCAAATCAACAATAGTTATCAAATGCCTTTTATGTCTTCAAAATAGCTGCAGATAACTTTGGACATAATAAAAAGCAAATAGAATAGAACAGAATAGAAACAGTAAAAACAAGACAACGAATGATATAAAGGACTTCAAAACAAGCCAATAGTAAATCCAAAATTATTGCCATAATATATCTTGCTGTCTTTGAAATAGCTGCTCCTGCCATCATATTAACATAATCAAACAAAACAAAAGAATAAAATCCAATCCAAAAAAACAATGGAAATGATAAAGGACTTCCAAAACAAGACCACAGGGAATCAACAGTGGCTGCAATCGTAAGACGGAGACCCCCTTAGATGCCACACTGCTTACCTGCTGGAGAGCCCTATGAAGCGGCTCTGAGCAGGATTTAAATCTTCCTACTTAGCTTTCTATGTTCATCTGTGAGTCTGTCCTAGACCTCAGCCCCCTGCCTGGCGATGGGAGCTGATTCATAGTGAATCTCCATGAATCACTGGTCCTGGCTGAGGCCTGCAGTGGCCTGCAGTGGCCTGTGAGGCCAGAGATACCACAAAGGGCAAGATAAGGCCACGGCTGAAGGCACCTTGGCTCCAACTCTAATTAAGTAAATAGAGACTGCAGCTGAGGAAATTTCACTCCTGCAGTCGCACTCCTACCATAAATGTCATCTTGGAGATAAAACAGTTCTCCTAAGTTGGCATAATTTACTACTTGGAGAAGTCTTTGAAATGACTCCCAAGGTCCTGCTCATTTCCCATGCTTTCCTCAATTTTCTTGCCTTTTGTTGTTGGTTAAAAGTGGGCAGGTCCAGAGATGTCTTTGTCTTAGCCCTCAGAGTCTTGAGCTCAGCTAAAGGGTTTTGACCCCTCCAGAGCCCTGAAATCATATCATGTCTCATTTTATTTAAACCTCCACCATACATTCATTTGGAGATTGAGGATCTAAGCCAGGACCTGATACTTATCACTATCCCTTGAAACCATGATCAGACCACTGGCCCTAGACCTGCAATGTTAGTGAAACACCAGCGCACCACAGGCATCCAACTGCATTTCACCTTGATAGCCGTCATCACAGCCTGTGTTTCTCCTGATAAGCTGGTTGCTTATGGTGGAGGGGAGCAGATTGTGGGATGGTACTTGTTCGTTTGCCAGCCTGCTCTCTGGAGGGGGCTAGGGTTTGGCTGTTCCAGTCTGGTGGGGTCCACACATGGCGCTGGTTCTCACAGGCTGGGTTTGCTCGCTTTGTTCTCTCTTCCATTGTTCTGTGAATGGCGCTGACTGAAGGAGAGAGACTAGGGTCTGACTCTAGTTCTTTATATATATTTAAATATTAGATCTCTTGTCTGAGGAGTAGCTAGTAAATTCTTTTCCCCATTCTACAGGTTGTCTCTGCACTCTATTGGTAGTGAAAGTTAAATAATTCTTAAAGGAAAAATTCTGGAAGCTTTGTCCAGAACTTAGTAAAGAACAGTTTAAGAACTTCCCTTTGGGAAGTTGTTTTGTTTGTTTGCTTGTTTTTTGGAGACAGGATTCACTAGGAAGCTCAGGCAGGCCTTTCACTCCCTGTGTAGTCCAAGCTGGCCTCAAAAGTCATGGCCAATGAGTGCTGGAATGACAGGCAGTTGCCTCTGTACCAGGTGGGAGGCTCTTTAGAGGGTGAATCCTGGATATTGATACCCCAGCTCTTTAGAAAAACTTCAATTTTGTTTCAAGTACACTTAAAAAGTACACTGACACACATCAGTGCTTGTTTTTTAAGTGTACTATCACTCATGTTTTAGAATTATTTAAAATAAATAATTTTAGATAAATAATTTTAAATAAAATTAAAATTTAAATGGAATTTTTAATATGATCAGGTAACAAAACTGTACTCAGTGCTTTTCCTGAAATCTGCACACAATTCATATTTTATTTGATGTAAGGGAGAGAATCACTTTTATGGTTTGGGTCTAGAATGTCCCCCAAAGACTATATATTAAAGATTTGGTCCCAAGCCTCTGGTTTATTGAAGGGGGTGGTGACCCTTTAAGAAGTGGGGCCTAGTGACAGGACGTACGGTCACTGGAGGGCATACCCCTGAGGGGGACAGTGAAGCCTTTCTTCCTCTCTTTGCTTCCCAGCCATGACAGTGTGAGCTCTGCTCCACTACACTGTGATGTTCTGCTCTCCCAGAGGCCCCCAAACTATGGACTGAACTCCCATAAACTGAGAGCCAAAACAAATCTCTCCTCTTTCTAAGTTTATCTCAAGTATTTTGTCACAGTGATAGAAAGTTAACATTGTCACCTACTTGGCTACTGAACAAATACTTATTGAGCACCTGTATGTGGCGGGCATTCTGTAAAGTTCTGGGCCTAAAATAGGTAAGATAGAAATGTTCTCAAAGACTTATGCACTCAGGGCCTCCTGCTCACAGCTGACCAAATCAAAGGAGGTCATATATTCAGGGAAAAGGCAAAAAGATTTATTAACAGTTAGCTCTAAGGAGATAGAGGGCCTATTTGCCTTGAATCACCTTCTCCCTGTTTATAGGTGGACAAGGGTCTTTTAAGAAATGAGGGGAAGGAGAGATAAGGGGCTATAAGGAGGCAACCAAGGTAAAATGGGGTTAAATTAGGGTGGATCTAACCCAAAATGACTGTTATCCTTGGAAAGGGGAAATCTGGACACAAATACAGGTAGGAGGAAGACAATGGGGGACTGAAGGACAATGGCAAGCGAATGTGAGGGCCCAGATCAGGGTGAGGCACTGACAGGCCAAAGAGAACCGGAGGTTTGCAGTAGACCACTAGAGAGTAGGACAGGCACAAAGCGAATTCC